CACCCGCCCTGGGGTGAGACCACCTGGATCTACCATGACGGCGAGGACACCAAGATGATCGTGGGCGAGGAGAAGAAGTTCCTGCTGCCCTTCTGGCTGCAGGTCATCTTCATCTCGCTCCTCCTGTGCCTCTCGGGCATGTTCAGTGGCCTCAACCTGGGCCTGATGGCCCTGGACCCCATGGAGCTGCGCATCGTGCAGAACTGTGGCACGGACAAAGAGAAGAACTACGCCAAGCGCATCGAGCCTGTGCGGCGTCAGGGCAACTACCTGCTGTGCTCCCTCCTGCTGGGCAATGTCCTGGTCAACACTACGCTCACCATCCTGCTGGACGACATTGCCGGCTCTGGGCTGGTGGCCGTGGTGGTCTCCACCATCGGTATCGTCATCTTCGGCGAGATCGTGCCGCAGGCTATTTGCTCTCGGCACGGCCTGGCCGTGGGCGCCAACACCATCTTCCTCACCAAGTTTTTCATGATGATGACCTTCCCGGCCTCCTACCCCGTCAGCAAGTTGCTGGACTGTGTCCTGGGCCAGGAGATCGGCACGGTCTATAACCGTGAGAAGTTGCTGGAGATGCTGCGGGTCACCGACCCTTATAATGATCTAGTCAAGGAGGAGCTCAACATCATCCAAGGGGCCCTGGAACTGCGCACTAAGACTGTGGAGGACGTGATGACTCCCCTCCGAGACTGCTTCATGATCGCTGCAGAGGCTGTGCTGGACTTCAACACCATGTCTGAGATCATGGAGAGCGGTTACACCCGCATCCCTGTGTTCGAGGGTGACCGCTCCAACATTGTGGACTTGCTCTTCGTTAAGGACCTGGCTTTCGTGGACCCCGATGACTGCACTCCACTCAAGACCATCACCCGCTTCTACAACCATCCGCTGCACTTTGTCTTCAACGACACCAAGCTCGATGCCATGCTGGAGGAGTTCAAGAAAGGTGGGCTCGTGCCTGTGGCGGGGGGTGTGGGAGGGGACGTGCTGCTTGGTGGGGGTCAGCATCTACCTTCTTTCCTCGAGGGAACTCTGCAGAGGGGCCTCTGGGATCCTGCTTGCACAGGGGCTTGGGAAGGTGCCTTCAGGACAGTGAGTGACTGGTATTTAGGCGTCTGCCGGATCTGCTTGTTCCCTGGGCCAGAAAGCTGATACCCAGCTGGTATGCGCCCCCGGCCTCTTTTCCCCACTGCCCTGGGATGTGTGTGTGGGCAAGGTGCCAAGCAAGGTTGTTTTCTCTCTTGCTTTTTCCACTCCTCTGTCCCTTATAGTGAGAACCGCTGACGGGAATCTGCGGCCGTTCCTTGGCTGTGTCTCCTCCTGCTTTTTCAGCTGGGCTGGCCGTGAGGAGCGGGTGGGCTGCTCGGGTGTCTCTCAGGCTTAGTGTGCACACACGTGCTGAGATAAACAAGGCGTTGGAGCTCCATTCATAGGCTCAGCTGAACGACCTCAGCTCTCTGCTCGTCTTCCAGTTACTTTGATTGACACTTTGATCTTGTATTTCATAAATTATTTCAGGGTCTTAAGATATGTTTGACAGCACCTGTTGGTGCTGCATTTCAGAGTTACAGTTTTTTCCCCAGACTTCTCTCCACCTCAGGATCAGCAGGGACATGACCCTTTCTACCTCTTTGTAGCTTGTGTACTGGTTGCATCAGAAGGGGACTGAGGCTTTCTGGCCTTGTCTTAATTGTAGGAGGCGTTGGCTTAACAAATGCATCTTTATTCTTGTTAGAAGCTCTTGCTTACGAGAAAGGAAAAACCTTTTTTTGTGTTCCTTTTTAAATCTGTTCCTTTCCACAAGCCAAACAGTAATGCTATATGGCTTGTACAAGGAAGAGCTTCCAAAGAAGTAGTTAAGTGAAATTTCAAACTGTTTGGATGTGTGGGCTCCTGTGCTGGAAAAGTGTAGGCCGTTGCAGTGCCACTGGGCTGTTTGTATCTGGGGAAATCTGATCACAGTACCATGGAGCAGCTCAGTCCCTGGGACATGATTTGACTTAAAGGGGAGGTCCCACAGGGAATATTTGGGTTCACCTTTTATCAACTGCAAAAGTTACCTTGAAGAAAACTTTGTGAATGGTTTTTCTAGATGATAAGTTTAAATTACCACTTACATTTCAGGTGTTGTTTTGTCCACATGCTGTGTTTTGGCACCTTGGCCTTTGAACTCCTTATTCCTGCTTAACTCAGTTTTGGGGATTTGGAGGGATATCTCATCTTTATTTCATCTTCATGGATAGAAAGTGAACATATTCTTGCTTTCTGCTGACCAGTGCAGCAGTGGTTGTCTTCATCTCTTTCTGCCTCTGTGTAGTGATGGGGAAATCTTACTTGGGTTTGGAGCTGTAGAAGGAGAGATGAGAGAGAGCCTCCCTCAGCTGTGCTTTCTGCACTGCAGGATCTGCAGCTTGGATGTGAGAAGCTCAATGATGTCATTTAACTGTTAGCTGGTTAGGATGGCTTTTGCTGCGTGTGCAGGCAAAGGGTGGTTCTTCTCCTCCCCAGCCCCCATTGTTCAGATTTCAGGTAGCACAATGAGGTTCTTAACCTGTAGTGAGACGTGTTTTTTTTCTAGCTCTGTTTGCAGCATTGTGTCTGAAGAAATGGATATTATGTCGGTCGATTTGTTTCCCCTGTCTGAAAGGGTGGAATGCACTCCTGTGTGTTAGCATAGCAGTCTTTTTATTTAACAACTGGGAGAATTAGGTGCATGTTTTAATCCTGCAAGTGTGGCTAAGCCAAACATGCCTCCTTACACTTCCTGAAACTGGTGCTTAAAATAGGCTTCTTAAAATTTCTCTTGAGTGGCTTGGAAGGTGCAGAGCAGAGATCACTTTCCCTGGTAGCCAGAGGGCTTCTCTTGCCTGCTCTAGGAAACATCCCAGTAGCACAAGCTTAGGATGACTTCCCAGTGTGCGTGTGTTCCCCCCGTGAGATTGCTCTGTCCTGGAGTAGTCTCTGTAGTTGTGAATCAATTTGGGCTAGTTTGAGCATACTTAGGTGTTTACTCCAGAATCACTATGCTGGTTGGTCTGTATGGACAAGCCCTGTGTTAGGACCAGCTCTGTCCTAACTGGTTTCTCTTTAAAAAGTGCAGCTGTAGTGGAAATAAACGGCTTCCTGTGTGTCCTTTGAAATGAATGTAAATACTGATAGCTTGCTTGATCTGGCATAGTGTGGTGTCTTTTGCAAGAGCTCTTCCAACTTTCTTTTTCAGAGCAGCCCTGCCAAATTCCCATGAGAATGTACAAATTAAGGGTGAGAATCAAATTGCATGATACTCTCCAGAAGAGTGTTGAAAATAAATAAGCTTGCAGTTTTTAATCATTCCCTTCCCATCACAGTGACCTTCCACCACAGCTGGATTGCTTTAAAACTCAGGTGTATGCCTCCTTTTGATACCCAGGTCTCTGCTGCCACTGTTGGGTGCAATGGGCTGCTCATGTGGTAGTGCTGTCAGTTGAATTCTTTAGTTTAAGAAGAGAGGATGGCTTTTTTCTAACAAGTTTGGTTATTAGCTGGGAAGGTGGGGTTTTGAAACTCACTTTTTGGCCAACATTCTTAACCTAAATATGGAATGGAGGGTTACAAGGAGGAGATTAAAAGCCAGGCACAGCAGGATGTATATCCTTAGGCTGTTGCATGGAAGATGAAATGGGTAGTTCTGATGAAATGGGTAATTCTGTACTTGTTCTGGTGCTTAGGCTGAGCAGCTGGAGGATTTGGTCATGGGCCTATTAGCGTTCTTTGACTACAATTGCAAAATAAGTATCTGTTTGGCTTCTATGCTGCCAGGCAAGAAACTTAATTTTTAGAGAGAGCTGCAGCACATTCCCATTCTCTTGCTGCTCCAATCTCTTAAAGTGTGAATAAACATGATTTCTAAAGCAGTTTGCAAACAAGCTTCTCTTCCAGAAAGCATGGTTTAGTTGCAAATAAATAAATAACTGTTGAAGGAGATGCAACTTTCTGTTATAAAAACAGACCTTAAACCTCTACCTGCGCTGTCCAGTCCACTTGCCTGCAAGTTGAGCAGACTGAGTGCTTAATTTATTTGGATGTGTGGGCTCCTGTGCTGGAAAAGTGGAGGCCCTTAGAGTGCCACTGGGCTGTTCCTACCTGGGGAGATCTGATCAAAGTACCATGGAGCAGTACCATGATGGAGAGTCATTCAAATTTAATGCGAGGAAGTGTGAAGTACCTTTTGTAGTGGCCTAGGAAATGACTTGCCTGACTTTGCCTAGTACAAAGAGGTGTCTCATTTGAAGTAACTTCATTCCCAGCTCACCTGATGTTGGCCATTGCTGTAAAGGGGAGCAAGGTGTTACCTGTTCCAGGACTGATTTGTGTCTTGGCTCCTAAGATGCAGCAGGGAGTGAATGAGCCACAAAGTCATTTTTGGTAAGAAGAAAGTGAACTGTCTCCACTGATCTCCTTTTTCTTGGTGACAAGTGTGTGGGTTTGCCTTTTTTTTAATTTTTTTTTTTAGCATTATTTATTCCTTTTTGACAGTTTTCTTAGGTCTCTACTCAAATGCTCTCTGGCACTTGCTCTTGGTGTTTTTCACAGGCAGATCTGTGTGTGTGTGATCCTAAATCCAAAGCATTCTATTTCTAGCTCTTTGCCTGCCAGAGCTACAAGAATTCAGCTTGAAAAGCCTCATGTTGTGATACTAATATTTCAAGATTGGCCCAGTTTCTGCAAGCCATTGTGCAGCTGTGTTCCTGGTGGCCTGGATGGCTTAGGAGGGCAGCAGTTTCTCAATTGGAGTCCTCCTTATCTGTGGACTTTGAGTCATATGTTTTGATCTTATTTATATCTGTCTCCACTATTATTTCATACTACAGATCACAGCTTAATAACCTGTTGCAAAGAAGTCACAATAACAGTGTGCAGCAGTTCTGAGCTCTTGTTTTCTGAATCACATGGCAGCCTTGAGAAAATTCCTAGATTCCTTATTAAAGTCATTGCCAGCTGGACCTTAAAGGATTGCTCTTCCCTAAAAGCATTGTCAGATTTAGCTTGATGATGCACACTTCAGGCTCTGCTGGGCTTGTGTTGTCTGTTTTTAATAATGTGTATGTTTGATGTCTATATTTAGTGTGGACATAGAAGAAAAACATTGTCCCTTTCTTTTCTAGTTCCTCCTCCCCCTCCAACGAAAACCAAGCCCCAGCAGCCTGAAACATAAACCCTTTACTTTCCAGGGTGCAGAGAATACCTAGACCTACTTACTGCTCTTGGGAGCACACAGATCCTCTTTTTGGAAGCAGGTAGGACAGCAGGTAATTGGTAGCTCAGGGATCCTAAGTTCTGCATTGCTATTGTTGGTTTGAGGTATTTTTTTTCCTGTTGTTAGGTCGTTTGGTCTGAGGGTTTTTGTTTTTTTTTTTTTTTCTGTTATTAGGTCACTTATCTTTCTGGTGCAGCTCTAATCCAGGTTTGTAGGTGTCTTCTTTCCTGGTCCCTTTCAAGTTTTATGAGTTCCCATCCTGCTGAGCCCAGTTTTCCCCTGAGTAACTTCTATTTGATAGGTCTGAATGCTCAGTTTCTAGTTTATCTAGCAGGTTGTCTCTCTCCTGGGCCTTTTTTTCCGTGCAAGCCTGTGACTGCAGCATTACGAGAAACTGGAAGAAACTACATAAATCCTTTCTGGGATTATGAAAGGCATGTAAAACTTCTTCTTGGAAAACAATGTTGTTTTCAAGGCTGCTTGGCTAATAAAAGACACCTCCTGTCATCCTTTTGGGGAGATTCTTAGAAAGGGAAGGGTGTTGAGGAGATCCAGTGTGGAGACTTCTCTGTGTGAAGAGAGTAGGGGAGTGGTAGGTGGGAAGGAATTTGCCACCAAGAAACAGAAGTCTTAGCATGATATGCCTGCAGATTTGTTCCCTGAGCAAAAATTGCATGTGGGTGTGGGGGTTGCCTCGTGACAAACAGTTT